TGGTCCGATATTAATAAAATTTCTTTTGCCGAGCCAAAAACAAAATCCATTCCAGTCCCTACACAAGCGCGAAAGAGTCAATGGAGTCCCACTTTTTCAATGCGGGTGTTTCGATTGTTGCACCAGGTGTTGGCACAGGTGGGATTCTTCACCCAACAGGGACCTCATTCATCAAGTTATTGAAGCCTTTGAGGACCATTTGGTGCAAAATGAAACCCCCAGGGCTTCCGGGAAGATAGATAAGGCCAGTGAAGAAATATTGATGACTGAAAGGGAGGGTTGGTGGAGGCTGAAAGTGATGCAGTGGTGGCCGCCGGACAGATGGAAATGGAGGTGGTTGCCGCCGTAGACGGACAGGAAGGTTCTGCCGGATGTGGTGGGGTTGTTCAACTCTATGTTATGGAGTGAAACTATTGTCTTTCTTTTTTTCATTTTCTCGAGAAAATATTGCTTAATTTTTCCAGTTGTTTCAAATGAAAGATTCTTGGATGTCACATGGAATGGTTTGGTGGAATTGATTTCTCATTGTTGTTGGTATAAGTCGGTCAAAAATTGCTAGTAAGTGTGAATGAAAGAGGGTAGCTTAGATTCTTTGGAAGTTCTACAGTACAACACATTAATATAAGATTAAAATAAGGTACTATCGATTTTGTTATTATTTAAATAACAAAATCGGTAAAAAGTTACCTAAAATATTATTATTTTTACTTAAAATATCAATTTTTTAACATTTTCGGTAAAAGTGTCCAACAATAACAAAACCGGTAGCGTCTAATAATATTTTCGGTCATTTTTACCAAATTCGGTAAAACTTCCAATAATAACAAAATCAGTAGCACTTAATAATATTTTCGATCATTTTTTTTACCGGTTTTGTTATTGTTTTTTTTAGCTGTAAATTAAAACTGTGAGCATTTCCCTATATTCTTAGAACAACATATTGTAGCTCACGTGAACTAAATCATAATTGGCAATGCCTTATTTAATTTCGTATGAAATCTATTCAAATCTATTCATTCTTTTGGTGTTTTTTAAAAGATGGCTTAATCATAAATAAGTGTTCAAAATATATTGTTTTTCTTAAATAGGTGCCCTAACTTTTTTTTAATCATCTAGGTGTCTAATGTTACAAATGTTATCACTTTACGTGTCTCGATCTTAGCGGCCATTAAAAAAGTCCGTTAAGTGACACATGTCATAATCTGATAATTTTGGAAATTTAATTTTTTAAAAAACTTAATTCGAAAAAGCCCCATTTTTTCTAAAATACCAAAAAAAGTCAAACTCCCAAAATCTCTAATTCACTCCGTTGGTTGACCGTATTAATTCTCAACAGACGAGGAAACGACATCGACGATGGGTGGCCGAACAACCAACAGCCAGATCGACGACAAAGGATGAGAATCGATGGCAAGGGACAACGTCGTCTCTTTATCTTCTTTTCCTTTGTGTTTCTCTTCCGTCCCAGCACCACCCACCTGCCGTCATTGTCTTGTCATCGAAGCCCATCCATCAATCATTATATTCCACTATCGGCTACCACCAGCCAAATAGGAAATTAGGTTTTTGAGATTTGCAAATTAGGGTTTTTATGAAAATTTGGGTATTTTGTATAAAATATAAAAATTTAGAGTTTTTTTTAAAATATATTATTATTTTAAAGTTTTTTAAATAAAATTTCTAAATTTACCATATTTTGACACGTGTCCTTTAACGAGTTTTTTTAATAGTCGTTACAGTCGATGCACTTAAAGTGGTAACGTTTATAACGTTAGACACCTGAATGATTCCAAAATATTTAGACACTTATTTGTAAAAAACAGTATAGTTAGGGCACTTATTTTATAATTAATCCTTACAAGATATAATGTTGGTTTTTTATATTATATCGTAAAATTTATAATTTAAATTATATTTTAATTTATTAATATTACTTTTCACATATATTATAATGTACATTGTCATTTACTTAAATAAATTAAACAATATTTAATATTACGTTTTGATTTCATTTTGGTCATTCATAATTAAAAAAATAATAAAACTACTAATGTAACATTTAAAAGAAAAGTCAATGATGACGTAACATTACCTTATGGTGACACGTTACCATCATCATTAATTTTTTAACGGTTGGTGACCGAACCAAAACCAAAACGTAATGTTAAGTATGATTTTGAAACAAACAAAAAAATTGGGTGACTAAAACCGAAGAAAAGTGATACCTGAGGTACTAAATGTATAGTTTACACAAATAAACAAATATTTATAGATACAGATTGCCAAAGTCTTTGATCTGACGTGGACCATGGCGTTTGTTTTCAAAGAATCCACGCTGCAAAATAATACAAAATTAGAATATCATCATCAACATGTGCCTAATTTGTTTGAAATAAGTCATTTGATAGAATAATTTGGGTAAAACAACAGTGTATTTTAGACCCCAAGTCTTCAACATCAACCACCAAACTTTCAATCCATAATTTCTCAATTTAATTAAATTACTTATTTCTTTTATCTAACTTACTCTTTCCGTTCCATTAAATATGTATCTTTCGATTTTTAAAATTATCTTATTCAAAGTGTCATATTAAATATAGTAACAGATCCAGAAATATTTTTTAGGGTGGGCATACATATAGGGATGGGCATGGGATCCGAACCCTACGATTCTAACCCGATCGGACCAGATCGGGTCGGGGTTTCTTTTAAAAAAATTAGATTAGGGTCGGGTCTGGTCGGGTTTTTTTAAAGGTGATGTTCGGGTCGGGTCAGATTCGGGTTTAGGGTAAAAATACCACACCCGACCCAAAAAATATAATTTTACTTTATATATTTAGGAATAATTACAACAATACCCCTCTATATATTATTTTTCAATTAAATCATTATTTTTATTGGATAAAAATAATATTTTTTTATTATTTGAGGTCGGGACGAATCGGGTTTGGTTTTTATCTCAAAAAGTTGGGTCGGTTCGGGTGAAGGATGTAAAAATTTCGGGTCGGGTCGATTTGTCCAAAGCCCGACCCATCCCCGTCCCTACATACATATACTAACAACATAAAATTTTTAAATGGGGTGCGTATAGATAGAATTTTATGGTGGGCACCATTAATAAAATAAGTAATTAATCAAACAAAACTTATATTTCAGGGTGTGTACGAAAAAATTCAGGGTGTGAACCATTAATAAAATAAATAATTAATCGAAGAAAATTTGAATTTCATGGTGGGCTAGCCGTGGCTCCGCCACTGATTAGAAAAGTCAATAAACAACAATACTTATATTTTCTTTTTACCCTTTTCTCTTACACTTATCAAAACAAACCAGTCAAATTTATTAATCAACTTTGAAGGATAAATTTATCATTTCCCTTGGTCAAATATATCTCTTAAAACAATGTGTACGGTTAATATAAGACACAAATTATGGGATACAAGGAGTAACATGTTTGGAGTTTGAGTTTGCCTCTTTCAACGATGTCGTTTTTCTATAATTTATTTGGTACACTTCTAATGGTCGATTAAATATTCACTTTCATTTATATTTTTTTTGGAGTACCCATCGTTTTAATTTGGGGTGAAAAGGTCCTTCTGTTAATGAAAATCGTTAGTCAAACATTCCAAAATAGATGATTTTTTATCCTAAAATAAAATGTTGAGGGCTAAAATACTCCAAAAACAAAGAATAATAACCTAAGTGACTATTTACTCAAATATTATGGATCTTTTTATCCTAAAATAAAACATCGGAGGCCAAAATACTCTAAAAAATAAGAATAAAAATAACTATTAATTAAAGAGTATAATTGTATCATTTGAATATAAGACTTAATACAAAAATTGACATTGGAACAAACAAAAATTAAAGGTCTCTTGACCTCTTTATTTTTGTCTTAATTTTGCTATTGAGAGTTTATGCTATCTTACCATTCCACTTAATATGTATTGATAATTGTAACTAAAATATATATAATTGTATCATTTGAATATAATCATAGAATAAAAACAAGTTAAAGGCAAAAATAAACTTAATATATATATATATATATATATATATAATTTAAAATTTTGTAAGGAGAATTTTGTTTGAAGTTTAAATTTTCTTTGAGGTTAGATTTAATGTTATCTCTGGGGGCGGAGTTCTGTTAGGGTTCAAAGGGGATCGAAGTTTAAATTTTCTTTGAGGTTAGATTTAATGTTATCTCTGGGGGCGGAGTTCTGTTAGGGTTCAAAGGGGACCCGGTCCCTGTAAATTTTTTATATTCAATAAATTTTTAGTTAATAGTTTTTTAGTTCATTTAAAAATAAGTATTTAAATTAAAAATATAAAAAAACTATTAAATATTTAGTCAGGTAGGGGTCGAACTAAAGAATGATAATCCAATGTTCTCAGTTTTTTTGGTTTAATAACAATTTAGGTCATCGTAAATTTAAATAGTATACAAATTAGACATTATCTTATGAATTTTAAGGTTAAATATCTAATAAGTCATTATATTTTTCTTAAAAAGGTTAATATTCCAGCCATTGCCAATATCTAATCATGGCTCCGTCCATGATTACCTCTACAATTAGTGTTTATTTAATTATTTTATTGATCTGTCTTTGATTAGGATAATCTATCAATGTGTTATCATCATTTTACTTATTTTTATAATAATATTAATGATATTTATCTTTCAGGGTCGATAATGATATTTATTCGTATTCTTCATTTTTATATTGTTTAGCTGATTTTTTAAATATTTTTCATGCAAGTCCCTATTTTTATTATTGAATGAGAAGAAGAAGAAAAACTTTGGACAAATGATGTGATGATAAAATGGTGTTACGTGACGTGTACGACTCAACTTTGTGTCTTCGATTCATGCATGAAGAATTAGCCTCCGGTTCGGTCCATGCATTCAATTTCCTTTTTGCCATTTTCAGTCACATTACATACGTTGGCCAATGGCCATTACGCCGCCCACCTTTTTCCCCCACATATATTTCTTCAATTCATCTCTCTTCTAATACATATACCACCACCGCCTTCGTTATCGTCATCGTCAGCTCGGTCTAATTTCAATGGAGAATTATCCCATAGTTTTTTTGGACGGATCATCGGTTTCGCCATCGTCGATAACCATGGCGAACCCTCCTCGTCCGAGTTACTCGGAAGCCGACGGCAAGGAGCACGTGAAAGGTGGGGGGAAGAAAGGTGACAAGAAGGAGGGGATGAAGAAGCACAAGTACGCATTTCAAACAAGGAGTCAAGTTGATATTCTTGATGATGGGTATCGTTGGAGGAAATATGGGCAGAAAACTGTTAAAAACAGCAAATTCCCTAGGTATTTTTTCGTTCCTTGGAAATTCGGTTTCAGTCCTTATACTATATTTGACTTGTCGATTTAGTACCCTTACTTTAATTCGACAGAGTATAATGTTACAGCTTAGTCCATATCGTGAACACCATTAATGGTTGCGATTTTGATCATCATAGTTTTGTCACTTGATTGGAAAGGGAATTTTGAGTTGTGGGTTTTTAAGACAACATCAATGGTTGTAATAAGCTCATATTATGCTAAATTAAAGTGAAACAGTTGGTATTCGATTTATTGGTCAATTAATTCAGATAAGATATTACTTAGATTCATTATGGAGCAATCTTTCAAGCTCAATCTGTTCCATTCGTATTGTCGGGATTCAAACTTCTAACCCTATTTAAAAGATCTAAAATAATATCATAATTTTAGAGGAGTAATTAAACCGGAAAATTTTAGAGGAGTAGGACTTAATTTGCATAGTTTCAAAACCTTTAGAGACCTAAGATGTAGTTAAACCTAAAAATTTCGGGGGTCATGGCCACTCCCACGGTTAACATGGCTCCGTCACTAAATATATGAGATAGGATCCACTTATGCTTCTGACAACGGAAAAATATTTTTCTACCCCATAAGCAATGCTAAATACTTTAAAACTGGTTTAAATCATGATTGGGAAAGTGATTTTCGACCTAATTGGGAAAATCACCTTTGGTGAAATTATATTATTATCCTTAAATACTATATTTTCAATTCACAACACAATGTCTAAAATGGACATTTTATCTTTTCAAAAATCGATTTTTAACAGTAACCTCAAACAGTTAAATTTTAAACTGTGATTTTTAAAATAATAATATTTTATCGCACTTTTCAAAATCACATTCGAAAAGTAATAAATAGTATGAAACTTTTAGTTTTATACATTTTAAGATCGTTGGATGGGTGGAAATAGACGACCGAGATTATCCCTTCAGTGAATCTCTTCTCATTCTCTACTGTCAATCTCATTCGTCTATTTCACCTCATTCGATGATCCTAAAAAGGTATAAAACTGGAAGATTTTACACGGTGTAAACGGATTTCGTCTCTCTCTCTCTATATATATACAAGTGATATAACTTTCATTTGGGTTGTTTTTGTCTTGTTGATCTGCAGAAGTTATTATAGGTGCACGCACAAGGAGTGCAATGTGAAGAAACAAGTGCAACGAAGCTCAAAAGATGATGAAATTGTGGTGACTACCTACGAAGGGATACACACCCACCCGGTAGAGAAGTTCATTGAGACCTTCCAAAACATTCTCCAACACATCCAAACCTACAATCCCTATTGAAATCTTCTTCTCCTTTCCTCGATCTGTAATAAGACTCGTAGATATCGTCTTCTTGTATCCGTCGTATTTAAGAAATCAAAATTCGAGAACCAATCACTTTGATGTAAAATCTAATGTTAGTCTAATACAAATTTGATTCGACTAAAAATATATTCAAGGAATAGTAATAGTTTGGGGAGAGGAAGTTGAATACTTTGATTTTTTTAAAGTATTTTAAATATTAATTTTTAATTATTTATGATTTATAATTTTATAACATCTAATATTTTTATAATTTTAAATCTATTGAGTGTTTCCGATGGTAGAGGGTGGCATGTTTTCTCTAGGTAACTGGGGCTCGAGCAATTTAATCTGTAGATACAGATGAGTTTATCCATATTTGAAATCGAATACATATACTTGACGAAATCTATGATAGTTCAAATGTATTAAAACTTTAAAAGGCTTGTTACGAGATTAGAGTTGTCATTGATCGTTTTAAATTAGGCACGACTGAATACATTTGAATTGATAAAAATTCAAAGAGTTAAGATGAACCTTTTAATAAGGCACCGTTGGATATCCGACTCATAATAAGATATCCAATTAAACTGTCAAAAGTATTATGTTAGTATAATTAAACAATTAATATTACAATTTCAAAGTTAATGCAAAAATACGAAAATTTACTGCATGTCTACCGGCAATATCAATTCTCATCCGAATATCTACTTTGGTTGCACCCAATAACTTTGTATCGATTATTTGGCGTCGCCATCTAAAAAAATTACAAAATTTATTGTCATTTTTAAAATATTTAAATAAATATTATAAAATATAAAAACCTTAAATATATGAATTTACCTTGCGACGAGAGGAAACTCCATAGGAGCGGATGTAATAAGCGTCATAAACGGGAGACGATACCACGCCCATGATTGGAGCAAAACTAAACAACCCGCTACATCCTCTTTTTGTCCTCTGACGACTATTGTCGCCTTACATAGTTCACATTACAAAAAGCCAAAATTGCATAACTCCAACTATATTGGAGACATACAACGAAATCCTCCATTACCGGAAGATATTGGGTGTGCACTAAATTGCCTGATTTATCCGGTAGCAAAGTCCCTCCAATCAACGTCAAAAGATATGCTCGAGCTGCATATATCACCTCTTGCTCCGTTGATTGTTCATCTACTCTAAATTCTCTTTTCAACCACGTCATTCGTACCCGCAACCCATCAATATCGGTTAGAGCCTCCTTTCCCAATAAATTTGAAATAACATTATTTACCTTACAAGTGTTGTGAAGCAATAATGACATACCATTAATCGGAACGTCAAGTTGATACGCGACATCTTCCAAAGTTATCGTCACTTCACCACAAGGTAAATTAAATGTATGCGTTTCGGGCTTCCAACACTCGATCAATACTGATATCAGTGATGGCATCACCTTAAATTCGCGAAGAATCACTCCATATAATCTGGATTGTGAAAGATATATCATCATCCGCTGATGTGGCTCTTCATTCGTCATTCCTCAATGTCGAATGGTTCATTCCTCTTGCTACAATTTGAAAATAAATTATTTAATACAATTACATAAATAATTATTATTAATACTATAATTTTTTCAAAACTAAAATGAAATAAAACAAATTAAATTTACCGTTGTCAACTCGATCGACGAAATATGAACTTCATCAAGACGTAACATTTCTTCTCTTGAGGTCATTTCAACACAAACTCTTCAACACAAAAGTTTTTGCTCTCAGTAGAATGTTTGATTACAAGTGAAAAATTTATCCAACCCAAACCTATATTTATATTACTCTACCCAACGACTAGTTTTTTCAAACTGAAAATAGCAATTGGAACTCGTCACACAGGCGTGACGAGTTCCATTGATTAAAAAAATTGACCGTTTAATAACGATCAATCCAACGGTCAAATATTTGAAAATTATACTCGTTGAAATTCGTCACGCCTGCTATATATGTCGCCATTACATGTGGCAATTGAGTGAGGGAAGAAGGGATTCAGAACTGCTAAAAAGTAACACGAGAAATAAGGAGTAATTCTGTAGAGAAGAAAAGCCCAATTTGCAAAACAAATTCTTCTGTTGGGTTCTCACACCAGTCCACAAAATAGCACCAAGTGAATAAATTAGGGCGGAAAATTTTTCGTTTTTTAGTTTTTCTGTATTTAATTTAGAGATAAAGTTAGGAATGGCAGAACGACCTGAACCCGACGGGAAAACCCGAAACCCGGCTAAGTTCGTGTCGGATTTGAATAATATCGGGTCGGGAATTCAAGGTAAAATTTGGAGATTTTTTTGGGTTCAGGTTCGGGTTAAGGTATCCCGGCTCGGATTATATATTATATATTTTATATTAATTATATTTAATACAAACAAAACATTTTGGGTTCGGTTTCGGGTTTGAGTACAACATTTCGGGTCGGGTTCATGGACAGGGCAAAAAAATCCCCGACGGGGCGCCCCGATAAAAAACCAGACGGGAAACGGGGCAGGGATGCGGAATCATTTTGGGGACGGGGACGGGGGAGCAAAACCCGCCCCGTTGCCATTCCTAGATAAAGTACACAAAGGGTACTGACTATAGGGTATTGTTTATTAGTCTCTCGATTATTAAAACTTAAAAAATAATCCTTCTAATATAAAGTGTTGCTTTGTTGAGTCTCTCAACTATTAAAAGTTACTAAATGATCACTCAACTATTTATTATGTTCCAAACTCGTATTTTTTCGTTAAAATTTGACTATTGTCTAAGTTGAACATTAAAATAATGATTGAATATGATAGTTATTTGAGATTCTGAGATCAGATTTTATCATATCACAATCAGCATGTTAGCATTCAGCTCATAATACCGTTAATTTTTTAACAGAAAGTTACTGGTTTGGAATATAATGAATAGTCAAATGATCATTTTGTAACTTTTAATAGTCGAATGACTCAACAAAGAAACAATTATAGTCGAAAGACCATTTTATAAATTTTAATAGTCGAGAGACTTAATAAAACAGTACCCTATAGTCAGGGACAATTTATGTATTTCACCTTTAATTTAGATTAATTGAATAATAAGGTTAGGCCATTTATGTACTTTACCTTTAATTTTGATTAATTAAATAATAAGATGAATATAGATAGTTTTATAAAATGAAAAAAATAATTAAAAAGCATGGGTATTTTTTTCCTCTTTTGTCCATTGATGTTTCAAAGGTAGTTTTATCGTACGGCAGCTTAATATACGGTTAAGAAAAATCACTACCATAAATATTATTTTTTTAATATTTTCGGTAAAGTGCTAACAAACATTATTTTTTCTACTGGAAATGTTAATTTCACTATTTAAAAACCGATAGAAAAAATAATATTTTAGTTAGCGTCCAATATTAACATTTCCGGTAGAAAAATAATGTTTTAGGTAGCGTATTACCGGAAATTTTAAAAAAATAATAACATTTCCGGTAACGCATTTTCTTAGCCGTATATTAAGGTTGTCGTACCTGAGACGTCCCGATGTTTCAAAAGTAATAGAATAGTGCCTGGTGTTTTTGTTTTATAATAAATAATGAAACATCGATGCATGAAATAAGTTGGTTCGGTCAACTAGCTTCATCTCGAGCTTTATCCAACGCAATGGAGTTTGGTGCTTGTAATCCAATCCTATCACGCCTTATACGAGGTTGTATCGAATCGATACATGATTTTTTATTAATATAAAGTGATGATAAAACGATATTTGTTCGGAATCGTTGTTATATACATATGGTTCATTCATCGTTTCGATTCCGGTTGACTCGCATCGGACTCGGACAAGAACACTCACGAGCGATGAATTAGATCATCTTTGATCAACTTGTTTCCAAGGTTTAGCTTGGATTCGGATGGTTTCGTCGTCTCTCTTAGCGTTGTGAAGCGGAGCTAACTCAAACTCCAACGCTATTGGATATATGCCATGGCAAAAATAAGCGACACTATCTCTGATTTTGTGGAGATCATTTGAATCGGAGTAATTTCAGTTAAAATGGTTCCCACGTGGAACAATCTCATTTCTTAATGAGTTTTCATCCATTTCTTCCTTTTTCCTCCCGCTCGGAGCATTTTCCGGAAAAACTCGAAAATCTTCATCTCATTTTCTGTTTGTTTCATGAATCGCTTGATTTTGGCGCTTGACCTCTTCTCGATTCGTTTCATCAATGAATCTGAGCTGATTTTGTTTTTTGCGATTTGATCGGAATTGAAATCAAATAAGTCTATTATTCTGGTTAGTTGTTGATTTATTTATTGATATATTGTTTTTTTTTTTCGTTTTTGCATTCGTATGAGAAAATTGGAAAATTCAATGCGTGTAGCAGGGATCGAAGATGGCGAGTTACAGCGGTTCACCGAGGCGGAGTTTTCCAAAGTCAGGCGTATCACCAGCTAGGAGAAAAGCACTGGAGAATGGAGGTTCCGACTCTATCCGGAAACTCTTGCCATCTTCTCGTACTACTCCGAAGTAAGTTTTTTCATTTCAAATTTTACGTTTGGTTTCTTTATCATTATTTTAAAAAAATCGAACAATTTTGGATGAAGGATCTTGGAAGTTATAATGTGTGGAAGGCATAATTAGTCTGTTGAACTTCCGTTCCAAAAATGAATAATTGAATTTGGATTTGAATGGATTGATAAAGGCAGTTGGTAATAATTTGTGAACATTCAGGTTCTAAATATGTACATCCTGTGAAATTAATAATGAAAAATGGTTAAAAATTGTATTCAACGTAAAATTTATGTTGAAAAAAAGTAATGATTCTTTTTTCCCTCTTTTATTGTTTCAACTTGCTTGTGGAAAGGGGACTAGCTGGTGAGAGAACGGTGAAGAGATTACGGATGTCGAAGGCCGTGACGGTACCGGAAAGTACCACCATTTACGAGGCCTCCAGGAAGATGGCTGCTCGTAAGGTTGATGCTTTATTGCTTACTGACTCCAATGCATTGCTCTGTGGGATTCTCACAGACAAGGTATGGCTAAAATCCTTGAAAGAGTATACCAAATTCACTTTACTTGAATCTCAAAATAAGGGAGACAAGTACCTGAATTAGTTTCTTCATTCCGATATGATTTCTCATGCCTTGCTCTCTTAGGCATTTTGGATTTCACATTTGCATGAAGAATGTGCTTTGTTCTTATATATTTAATCTAAAGTGAATCAGGTTAACGATGCTGTCTCTCTTTATTGATTCATTTTTGCCTGCAGGACATAGCTACAAGAGTGATTGCTCAGGAGCTTAATATGGAGGAGACACCGGTTTCCAAAGTAATGACTAAGAACCCAGTATTTGTTCTTTCTGACACTCTTGCTGTGGAAGCACTCCAGAAGATGGTGCAAGGTGCTTTTTTTGGTTGATTCCCACCCTTTTATGTGATATATTTTCCTGTATCTTACCCTTTAATATTGTTCTGATATCATTCTAAACAGGAAGATTTAGACACTTGCCTGTTGTACAGAATGGGGAGGTCATTGCTTTGCTTGATATAGCTGTGTGTCTGTATGATGCTATTGCTCGAATGGAAAGGTCAGCTGAAAAGGGAAAAGCTATTGCTGCAGCTGTTGAAGGCGTAGAAAAAAACTGGGGAACATCTTTCTCTGGTGTGTGGATAATGTTATCGTTTGCTTCAATGAGTTTTTTTGTCTTTGTTATATTCATTTTGTTTCTATAGTTTTAGCTATCAACATACCACTTTTAACTTTTAAGTCCATGCTGCTTTTTGGGGTAATATGCAGGTCAGAATACATTAATTCAGACACTTAAAGATTATATGTTCAGGCCCTCACTGTCTACAATTGTTGCAGACAATCCAAAGTAGGTAATACTTTTTTCCTTTTTAATGTATGTTTATTTTTTCCTTGTGATATTTTGAGTCGCTTTGCTTCATATGATACCTTTCTTTCAGGATTGCAACAGTTTCACCGGCCGACACAGTTTTAACTACTGCAAAAAAGATGCTTGAATGTCGGGCAAACTCTGCGGTTGTGACTATTGAAAACAAACCACGGGGGATTCTAACGTGAGTCTCTTTTGAATCAAATCACAATTCAACATTTTTCTAAGTTTTACCATTCTGATGTTATTATTTTTAATTGTTACAGTTGATATTGATGTTATTCTAAGTTTTTATTTTGGATTTCTGATAGTTCAAAGGATATATTGATGCGGGTAATAGCACATAATCTGCCTCCAGAGACTACTTTAGTGGAGAAGGTTTTTCTTTTCTTTTCTTTTCTTTTTTTTCCCCTTCTTCTGGATTTTTCTTTTTCCTTCTTGTGCCAACAGAGTTTGTTCTTATAGCTTGACCTTATATGCCAGCAGCAGCTCATCATTTTGGACCTCTATGATAAGCAATTTCTTGAGTTCTGTTCATTTTGCTTTTGATTTGATGTATAGGTTATGACTCCTAACCCAGCATGTGCAACGCTCAACACGCCAATTGTTCATGCTTTGAAGACCTTGCATGATGGCAACTTTTTACACCTTCCTGTGGTAGATAGAGGTGATATGAGTTGCTACCCTACAAAGAATATAGTTTTCTACATACATCAAACCAGTTCTCAATTAGTTTCTTTGGTTGGATGCAGACGGAGAAATAGTTGCTGTTGTGGATGTGTTCCACGTTACTCATGCCGCTGTTGCCACAGTAGGTCAAGTGAGTGTCATTCTGAAATTATAGTGTATCTTGGGGTAAACTACATGATTGGTCACGTTTGTTTAAGTTTTGTTCACTTTTTCTCACTGAATTCAAAAAACATAATATTTCATCACTTTCGTTTTTATTTAATTGAGATGTGATCACTTACCCTATCGACTTTTAAATATTTAGTCACTGAAATTTTGATAAGTAATCATAGATTAAATAAATCAAGATTCACAGGCACATTTGTTTCATACTTATAAATACAACATTTTTTTTATAAATAATACATGTGCAACGCGTCCTGAAGACAACTATTTATTCTCAAACACATAATGAACTTGTTAATGAGAAAGAACAAGATTATAATGTTTTTTCCTATTTCCTTGGCGATTCATGATGTTTTTGTTATGACCCCATAATTTTTTCAACAACTAGGTTGGGAAAAATTTTGCAATCAACAATGAGACCACCACAACAATGGTGCAGAAGTTTTGGGATTCCGCAATGTCCTTACCTCCCATTGAAGATGAAGACGAGACAAGAAGGTTTTTAATGTTGTTGCCCTGTTTATGTTGCTGTGTCAGTGTTATGTGCCATTACTGCTTTACTAACTTATTGATAGTGATGTTTCAGCTATAGCTCATTGAAGTTGGCTTCTGAAGTAGCAGAGACAGAGAGATCTCTTCCTTGTCCTTCCTCCACTATGCCTTGTACATTTGGTTTCAAACTACAAGATAAAAGGGGCCGAATGCATAGATTTCTTTGTGGTATGTACTATTTCTACTCATAAGCTGCGCAATGGTTTCAAAGAGGACCCATGAATTCCATATCGGTTGAGTATTAGAGTTGATCTTAGGACATAGTGTTCGCATTACTTTCAACCTGTGAGGTTCCTTTTTCATGAGTAAAACTGTGAGGTTCAACACTTTGAAGAGGACAATAACTTCTAGTTTTGTGTAGTCTGTGACATTTGATACTAGAGCCGGTCTAGAGTACGACTGATGTGCCATTTAGGACAATGAGCCCTTGTTGGAGTATGGGAGAATGTCATGGTCCTAGAGAGGAACCATGAACCATGAACCATGAATCCCGCATTGGTTTAGACTGTGATACTAGGCACCAACACATAAGGACAGACGCAGGATTTTATGTTATGAGGTGTGATTTTATAAAATTTTACGGGATTAAATTATAAAATTTTAGGAGAGATAAAAATATATTATTAATTAAAAATATAAAAAAAATATCTAAATTATATGACAATTTAAAATTTTCATGGACGACATGCCAGTCCCTTTTCAGTCCATCCCTGCCTCCACATATAGATGTCCTTTTCTTTTACATGTGGCTCATACGCGAGTGTGGCTTGTTTGTAACTTGTCAAACATATGCAGTCCTACAAAACACTTCTAGGCTAGTTAACTTGTAAATGCCGGCATGCCACTAGCTTCAAGAATTGTTCCTTCAAATTCATTTTGGTCCAAGTTATTATTGAAGAACACTTTTCTAGTGGGCTGGCCACTTTATACAGCTGCTGAAATTAGTGTTCAATATATACTATTAGAGGATCTAGGCCTGTAAACGAATCAAATGTTTAGCGAACCATTTAGTGGGAAGTTTGTTTATGTTCGTTTATTTATTAAACAAACACACATGAACAAGGTTTTATGTTTGTTTAACTAAATGAATAAATACGAAAAAAAATGTTTGTTCGTTCATTTACATTCGTGAACGCTTTATAATCCATTTGTTTATGCTCGTTTGTTTATTTCATTTATGTTCTCTAGACATGTTTGAAATATAAATACTTAATAAATTTTAACCATAAATCCATTAATATTTTTAAACTCAATTAATTTTAAACCCAAATAAATCAAATCAATTAAAGAAAATATAAATCCTAAAATTGTTTGAAAAGAAAAATACTCTTCTTAAATGTAAACCCAATTAATTTTATCTTCCTTCATTTATGTTCGTTTATATTCATTCGTTTGTGTTTATTTACGTTCGTTCATTTGTGTTCGTTTAATTCGTTTATCATTTAAATGAACGAACACAAACAAGCTAAATTTCTTAATGAACGAACATGAACAAGAAATTCCTTTCGTTTTTGTTCGTTTGTTGTTAAACGAACGAACATGAACATGAACATGAACATGAACATGAACATACCCTCGTTCGTGTTTGTTCGGTTCGTTTACAGGCTTAAGAGGATCTAATTCTTTATATACACCATACAGTTTTACACACTATTGTGTCCAGACAATTGTATTTGATAGTTTTTTTTTTTTTGGCATGTTTCTGCTGGATGCAGATACACGCAGTTTAACTAATCTAACAAGTGCAGTCCTTCGTAGGCTGGGGGATGACAGAGATAGAAACATAGTGCCTCAGATCCTGGTATATTTTTACAAATATTATTAGTCTTTTTGTTTTTATGATTACTTTAGGTGTCTAAAATATTTTTCTCAGAAATTTATGCTAATTGATGGACTTATTATGCAGTATGAAGATGGAGACCATGACAAAGTTGTATTGGCGTCAGACTATGATCTTCAAGTGGCCGTGGAACATGCAAGGTTGGTTGGCTTGAAGGTATGATCATATTTTTAAAGAACCCTATTATTTTTTTGAGCATTTTGGTCCTCATCATTTCATTTTCGGGAAAAATATCCCTCTATATATGGAAACCCTTAGTTAGAATGCAATTAGCACTCTAAAATAGGGCCTTTTTTACCCTAAAATGAAATATTGAGAGCCAAAATACTATAACAAAAAAGAAGGTCAAAGTGACTATTTTGTCTAATGTTACGGGCCCTTTTTCTTCTAAAATGCAACGTTCCAAAATGATAGTTTCAGTAAATATTGGAGAATAATTTTGATATTATGCAAATATAATATTATGCTACTTTTGGTAGAAGTGCGAAGGAATATATATATATATATTGATGCTTTTAATATTCAAATTATCAGTTTTTGTTCGTTTTAGTATCTAAATTTTCATTTTTTTAAATCATACCTAAAGTTTATACTTTAGTTTTTGTTTCATTTTAATACCTCCATTCAAAAATTAACGTTAAGTTTTGAAAAACTGAAAGTTTAGGTATTAAAATGGACCAAAACTAATAGTTTAATTACTAAACGCATTAAATTTTTAATGATAGGTACTAAATGAAATGAAAATTAAATGTTAGGTATGGTTTTGAAAAAATAAAAGTTTAGGTACTAAAACATACCGAGACTGATAATTTAAATACTAAATATGTAGTTTACCCTATTAATTATTTTGAATAGGTATTATTATTATTATTATTATTATTATTATTTTGATCAACCTTCTAGTTTCAAGTTTAGGTTCGTACTAATTCTTCTTTATGTCACATTGATACATGCTTGAAATTGCATTGTTGCGTCGGAACAATGTCTATACTGAATCAATCCCCTATAAAATTATGTGTGGAGCTCAACATGTCTGAAACCTCTTTTACTCGGGATGGACCGAGAGGGGTGGGTGAGGGCAATTGTCCTCCTGAAAATTCAAAATTATCATATATTTTATATTCTTCTATGTATTTTCTATTGAATCAAGTTAAAGGCATCTAAATGATGCTTTGTGCAGGGTTTGAGGTTGCACTTAGATTGTGCAGGGACGAAAGATCATCTACGTGCCTCCAATTCACGATACTCGAATTATGCAAACTCCGATGCATGGACTACTGCATACAACACCGTCGCAGCCGGGGCGGCCGTCGTTGCCGGGTTGGGCTTATTAGCGTACTTGAGGAAGGCCGGTAATTAGCATTCTTAAGAAAACTTCCAATCCCTCTCTCTCTATATATATAAAGAACTTTGCTTAGGATTGATTGGCCAAAGTTGGGTTTGGTTTAGAGTCACTCCATATGTTTGATTTGTTTCCCTCATTTTCAAAATACAAATTAAGAATTTTTTCTTAGCTTATATTAAATCTTCATATATCGATTAAAATGAAAATTTATAATTATTTTATGTATTTTTATTGAAAATCTGTTTTCGTTTCCTTAAATTTTATGAGTTTAAGTTCGTCTCTTGAAATTTTTAAAAATTCAGATTCACTCCCTTACCATAAAATTATGCGTTCGTCTCTGTTCACGACAGATTGTCATCACCATTCAAATGGGTATCCCAAGAATTGTCACTAGATTGAAAATTTATTTTTGGATTATTTGAAAGTGGATTAATATAGGTTTAAAGTTGATGACATATTTTTATTATCTTTTCAAAAGAATTTAAACTTTCAAATATTTTTTTTAAAATTTGATTAAATTTATATAAGTATGATGATTAAAGATAATTTTAAATATCGAGATTATGAGTATTTCATAAAATAAGACAAGTCTAATCAAGTTTAAGAAATAATTTATACGTGTTTAAAATTAACAAATTTTTGTTATAATATTCTCAAATCTCGTATTTTTATATCTCTTTTAAAAATGTTTAAATATAAGTTTCTAAACATACAGTCATTTAGATATTAAAGATAAGTCGATAAGATATATATGTGTATCTCATCATCCGTCGACTTGTGTTCTTACAAATACGTGTCGAAATAATTCGAAATATCATCTAATATTATCAGTTAAAGACATGTATATAATATTAATTAAAAAATTGAAGAAATTTTAAAAGAAACTCTTAAAAGTTATAATAAAAATCAAAATATTATAAGTATTTAAAAAAATTAAATCAAAATTATTTTAGTTTAAACTTATTATTATTATTATAAAATAATGAAATAATAGTAGTAGTGTGAAACTGGTCAATCCACCCTTTTTCAATGCCTTATTTTGGGACTTTTGTTTCATTATTTTTAGGGTAAATTTAAAACTAGTCACCCATCTATTATTATTTTTTACTTTGGTCATCAAACTCTTGAATTTCCCACTTTTTTTTTAATTTTCACACTATTAATATTGCACTATGGGCACAACATCCTTCAATAGGGTTCAATGCTTAACCATTGCACTAAACAAGATACTTTATTGAAATTAATTGTTTTTATATTTATTAAAGTATATTAATTATAACACAACTTACAAAATGTTATAAGAATATATTTCAATAAAATATTTATAATTTATGTTATGATTGATATATATTTTATAGATATAAGCACAATTAATTTTTATTATAGTTTAAATTAAATATTATTTTTATCAATTATCGATTGGCAAATAAAATGATGACATTTATATTCTTGTTATTAAAAATATCAATTTATTAAAAAATTAATAAGTAAAATTACTGATGTGAAGAGGGTAAATGAAATGAAAAATCAAAAATAGATAAACTATTATTTTCACGTTAACATTGCCGTTAAATTTTAAATGGAAAATATAATGTTAATGACGAGTCGGCCCAGAAAAGTTTAGTGACCAAAGTAGAAAAGCTTTAGTAATTGGGGTGATCAATAGAACAATTTACCCTTATTTTAACTTCTTTTATAATTTTCCCTTTAGTGAATTATTGGCCAAAAAAAAGAACATACATCATTTTTCACATTCCTTAGTCTCTAAGGCCGAGACTAATAATAGATAATACACATCCAAATGTATATGAGTTTTTTTCCCTTTGTTTTTATATATTTGAATAATATTTAAATTAAATTATTTTAATTATTATTTTTAATACATTTAGAGCTGGTATGAATAATAATATTCATAAATCTATTATTTGTATTTGTTTCATTTTTATGAATATTAAATTTAAATTTGAATATTTATTATTCAGTTCGTTTTATTTTTCCTCAAAAAAAGATTTTATTATTTGAATTTACTTTTTTTTATAAATAATAAATTTAAATAAATTAATCGTTTTTAATAATTTCTCTTAATAAATTTAAATAATCTAATTAATCCATATTAAAAAAGGGTAAAATACATCATTTCTCACTGAACTTTATTATCTCTCATATTTTATTTACTGTACTTTCAATTTTTCTAATTTACTCATTGAACTTCCAAATTATTATTGTTTTGATCACTTTGAATTATTTATTATTATTTTCACATTACATGGCATTTTTTATAATTATTTAATATAAAAATAATTTTATTATTATTTCGAATATCAAGGTGATCAACAGTCGGTGGTGATTATTTTGAGTCTTTTTGAATTTAGTAAAAATAAAATATTATTTTATTATTTATTTTAAATTACTTTTACATTATGTAATAATAATAATGACACTTCATACAAAAATAATAATAAAATAATCCAAAGTGATCAAAACAGGAGCAATTCGAAAGTTCAGTGAATAAATTAGAAAAATTGAAAGTAGAGAAAAAAATAAGAAAGTAGGTAAAGTTCAGTAAGAAATAATGTAATTTACCCAAAAAAATCACCTTAAAACATGTTAGCATTGTTGACTATATAAATTCCTTTAAGATCAACAGGGATGTGCTGGGTCCGATTTTTTTGTCCACCTAACCTAACCTTAGAACAATGACTCCTCCACTAGAAATCTAACTTGACCAGTATAATATATACCCTCCACCCGATCCGACCCGAAATAATAAAAAATATTATTTTTATTTAATAAAAACAATAATTTAATTGAAAAAAATAATATATTATAATTATTTCTAAATATATAAGGTAAAATTATTTCTTTTCCGGGTCAGGTCAGGTATTTTTCACACTAAACCCAACCCGACCCGAACACCACCTTTAAAAAACGACCTAAATCCGAATTTTTTTAAAAAACCTGACCCGGTCGGGTCGGGTAGGGTCGGAACTCGTTCGATTCGGATCCTATTCTCATCCCTAAGGACCAACCTGTCTCCAATTATCTACAATGGTTAAATTGTTTTATTAGTCACCGTACTATATGAAAATTATTGATTTAGTTCATATTATTTAATTTTATCATTTTTAGTCATGTACTTTTCAAATTCCAATTTTTTTACATAACCATAATCATTAAACTTGTTATGTCAAATTTCATTATTATTCTTATACTATATGCACAAGTTGTAAATTTAGTTCATATATTTTTTAATTTGATTATTTCAAGTCTCTTAATTTAATCATATTATTAATATATCGTTTGAGTCAAAAATAAAATTTTAAAAGTTTAAATATATAAAGATTAACCTCATTCACTTTTCATTTAAATTATTATTATTTTCTTGAAAATAAGAAATATCAAAACAATAATTGGATTAGGCTGTGGTGCACATGCCTCAATGTATAACTTTTTTTATTTAGTCAATTAATTCATATGATAAAATGTTTGTTTTTTACTTTCATATAATTATCCGTATTTGATCTATGGTCGATTATTCAGATAGAATATTACGAGCTCTAATATGAGAGTGATATTCTCAACTCAGATTGTTTTATTCATAACATGTGATTTGAACCTTTGATCTTATTCTAAATTAGTTAATAGATCAAATTTAATGTAATTTTTTATATATATATATATATATATATATATATATATAAAGATAGATATCTTTTATGAATTTTAGGCTTAATACAAAAATAAACGTTGAAGAATTTTTCGTTAAAAATAGATGTTTAAAGTTTTCTCCGTTATATATTTTAGGTGTCTACCGTTAAGTGACACGTGTCACGTCCAGATTTTTTTTAAATAAAATATTATTTTAAAAAATTAAAATCTGGAGTGACACGTGTCACTTAACGGGTTTTTTTAACGGTAGACACCAAAAAATGTAACGGAGAAAACTTTAGGCACCTATTTTTAACGAAAAATTCTTTAGGAACTAAAAGATAATTTTGACTATAGTTTAGGCACTTATTTTTATATTAAGCCTAAATGTTAATTAAGTTTTTCAAACTTTTTCTAAGATTTTATTTGACTTTAGCGTGCCACGTCAGTTTTTTAGTGGCAGTTGACAACAATGAGAATAATAATAAGTGATTATGTTACAATTTTTAAAAGGTTTGATGATTAAAATATAAGCATCCTAGGGATTATTTATGTAGTTTTCCCTTAAAATTTTAAATAATGATTTTTAAGAAGCTTATTTATATTTTGATGCAATAAATTATTATCATCATTAATTATTAGATGAGACAGTCATGCTCGACGAACACCGCTGAGCACCATTAATTTAATTTATAAAAATATAAAATTCTAAAAGACTCGGCGTATAATTATGAATTAGTTAAAAATATAAAGGTAAATTATTTAAAATAAAATATTGATTACATTATTTTCCATAATTTTTTTAACAATGATTGGATCAAATATAATGTAATTAATATTTTTTTAAATAATTAACTTTTAAATTTTAACTAATTTATAATTATACGTTGAGTCCTTTAGAATTTTAAATTTTTATAAATTAAATTAATGGTACTCAACATACTCATCGTTAGTAGTATTCAACGATACTCGTCGGGTGATATAGAATTTTTCTAATTATCATTATACTTGTTAGTTAACATTGCACTAATTAATGGATAATAACTTGTCGTTAGATACATAACACTAAATAATGGATGAGTAACTTCCTTGAGTAAAAACATAGAGAATCTTTGTGATAATTGTAATCTAAAACTTTTTAGGAAAATGATGATTTGACCTTTGCTTTAATTTAATTATATATTATTATGTTCGATAAATTACATTAAATACCCGACCAAAAAATATATAATTTTACCTTATATATTTAGGAATAATTAAAATAATACCCCTCTATATATTATTTTTTCAATTAAGTCACTGTTTTTTATTGAATAAAAATAATATTTTTTTATTATTTCGGGTCGAGTTTTTAAGTTATATATCGGGTCTGGTTCGGGTATGGTGAAATCATGTTTTGGTCGGGTCGGGTCGGGTCGGGTCTCGGGTGGAGGACTCCTTGTTCTCGGGTCGGGTCGGGTGGGCCAAAAACCCGATTCATGCCCATCCTTAAATCAAACAGGTAAAAAGTTAATTCAACATGATGGATCATTTATGTTTGTGTTTTTTACACTTTTTTTTGCCCATTTCAAAAATTATAATACATAATCACTTTCGTTTTTATTTAATTAATTTATGGTCACTTTCGTTTTCATTTAATTAAGATGTGATCATCACTGGTTAACTTCCGTTAACGATTAACATATTAGTTGACATAGTATTTTTGTATAACCACACATTTGGTCCATGTTATTTACATATTATCTCAATTTAGTCTTATTTTTAATAAATTTGATCATCTAATTGAATGATGTCATGTGTCACCATTCGATTGGAGGACTAATTTTATTTTAATTTATTTAATTTAATATATTTAATTTATTAAAATAAATTAACCCTATATTAAAATAAATTAAATTATAATAAAGTTAGTCCTCCAACCGAATGGTGACACATCACACTGATGACACGTGATATCATTTGATTGGATGATTAAATTTATTATAATTTATTATAAGTATGATTAAATTAAGAGAATATGTAAATAACTGAGACCAAATGTGTGTTTATATCAAAATATTTAGTAATAATTAACAAATGAGGACCAAACCTTAATTTAATAAAAAAATGACTATATATATATATTTTTAAATCAGTGATAAAAATAGACAACACAAACATAACTAATCAATTATGTAGTTAATCCGTAATTAAAATATATGAATTTAAATGTGTTGGAGCCGAGGCTAACATGTAACCAAAAGGTAATACCATATTATTATTAAATTTTTTATAAAAAAAAAGATTTATAATTACTTTTTTAATGATGGTGACCAAAATGATATCAAAACATAATATTAGACATTATTTTGAAAAGAAATACTAGTTGGGGCACTAGGCTTGTAGTTTACCCAAATATTTTTTAGTGTCTGGATTCCTAGAAACCTACTATAAAAACCCAGAAGGATAGTCCTTTTACCCAGAAAATCAAAAGACCAGCCTTTTTCTCTTCAGAGCTTCAATGGAGCAATCCAAAAACAACCGACCAATCTCATTCATCTTCATCTTCTTCCTCTTCCTCACTGTATTTTCACCATTAGTAGCCCAGCAACAGTCATTCATTAAGACCATAGTGGTTTTAGGGATGGAGAACAGATCCTTCGATCACATGGTCGGGTGGATGAAGAAATCCATAAACCCATCAATCAACGGCGTCACCGGCGACGAATGCAATCCCATTTCGACGAAGAACCCGAACCCGCAATCCATTTGTTTCTCCGACGATGCCGAGTTCGCGGATCCGGATCTGGTCACTCGTTCGAAGCCGTCGAGCAACAGGTGTTCGGTTCAGCCACATCCCCTTCCATGTCCGGCTTCGTCGAGCAGGCGCTCTCCGTGTGGCCGAAATTCTCCGAGACCGTGATGAAAGGGTTTCGAACGGAGGCGGTGCCGGTTTACGCTTAGCTGGTGAAGGAATTTGCAGTGTTTGATCGTTGGTTCTCGTCAATCCCCGGTCTGACTCAACCGAACCGGTTATTCGTGTATTCGGCCACTTCCCGTGGCTCGACCAGTCATGTTAAGAGACAATTGGCTCAAGGGTACCTTCAAAAAACGATCTTTGAATCACTCCATGAAAATGGTAGGGACTTTGGGATTTACTTCCAAAACATTCACACAACTTTGTTCTATAGGAACTTGAGGAAGTTAAAGTATGTCTTCAAGTTCCATCAGTTAGATTTTAAGTTCAAGAAAGATGCTCGAGGTGATAAGCTTAAGAGCTTGACTGTGATCGATCCGAGGTATTTCGATCTCAAAGGATAGCCCGTGAATGACGACCATCCACCCCACGACGTCGCCAACAATCAGAAGCTGGTGAAAGAGGCGTACGAGACATTGCCCTCAATGGAACGAGACACTCTTGGTGATTACTTATGATGAACGTGGTGGTTTCTATGATCAGGTCGAGACACCGTTCGTGATTGTCCCAAGTTCGGACGGGAACACCAACCCTGCTCCTTCGTTCTTCAAGTTCGACCGGCTCGGAGTTCGCCTGTCAACTATTATGGTCTCTCCTTGGATCAAGAAAGGCACCGGCAAGTTACTCCGGCTCGGAGTTCGCGTACCAACTATTATGGTCTCTCCTTGGATCAAAAAGGCACCGGCAAGTTACTCGGGCTCGAACTGTCGGATTACTTATCGACCACCACCTTGCATGCTTAATGCTTGAAACTTGTGGTGCAGTGATAAGTGGACCAAATGGACCAACTCCAAGCTCAGAATTTGAGCACTCATCAATCCCAGCAACAATAAAGAAAATGTTCAACCTCTCCTCCAATTTCTTAACCCATAGAGATGCTTGGGCTGGCACTTTTGAGGGAGTTGTTGGGGAGTTAACCACTCCCAGAACTGATTGTCCTGGTATTTTATTTCATTATTGAATCGCATACTGGTGAAAAACATATCTAACAATTAAAAAAGACATGTAATAATTAAGAACATGGATAAAGTTTTTGCCTTTGAATTTTATTGCAGAGACATTGCCAGATGTTGTACCTCCGAGGACAACTGAAGCCAAAGAAGATGCTGGTCTCTCTGAGTTTCAGAGTGAGATAGTTCACCTGGCGACTGTTCTGATCGGCGACCATTTCTTGAGCAGTTTCCCTAATGAGATGAGCAAGAAAGTGACACTGAAAGAAGCTCATGAGTACACGAGGGGAGCCGTTTCCCGGTTTATAAGTGCTAGCAAAGAGGCCATCAAGTTGGGAGCAGACAAATCCGCCATTGTAGATACGCGATCATCGCTTACAACAAGGTCTTCTAATCCGTAACCGGTTGAACTCAAAACCTCGTTCCCCCTCTAAATTTTCTTACAGGTTTTAGAAATGTATGTTCTCAAATTAAAATTTGTCAAGGAATATGCAATAAAGCTGCAGTGTTTTGGTGAAAGAACTGTGTTTGAATCAGCTGCGTCTTCTCATTACAGATTTAGCATCCATGCATTTTACGTTTGCTTGTGTTTGGTAGTAGTATAGGAATGTACTTAATAATGAAAAATCGATTACGAAGAACATCTCGTTTTTTTTTACTTCCACTCGAGATAATATCGAACTACTCGACAGGCAATATTCCTCCAAGTAAACCATGCCAAATGGTTCCATAAGAGAGACACATTATTGCTTGAATACAGCGCCACCCGCAATGAAGCTCATACTCCTCCTGCAAATAAAAATGTCAATATATATATATATAGTAAGGCATCGAAAAGGAAATCTTTACGGCTCTTTTTCCTTTTCTATTTCTTTCCTATTGGCCGAACCACCACCCTTCAAATTCCAATAACTAACAGCAAGAAAATGCAGTTCAATGTCAATCAAAGAGATCTAGACAACAATGTCATCACTCAATGCAGATATATGGGTTCATGCTTACCTCCGAGGGTATCAGCAGCCAAGATAACTCGATTGTTGTCCGAGTTTTACATGGAACAAGGACTTTGCCAAGTCGATACGTCTATGATAAGCTCCCGTAGTTGATCAATTAGACGCTTTATATATTCATTCTTGTTTGCAAGCTCCTACAAATAAGTCATTTCCAGATTAGTAGAATTTGTACATAAATTTAATAAACTGTGTTTCTTCACGGATTAAGGTTCAAAATGCAGCAGCATTATAAAGAAAACGATCAGCTAATCGATCCCCAACGTTAGCCCACATTTTCCCTGATATATGGGTATTGGAATATTATTCTCCAAACAAGGACTGGCCTGGGGACGAGGCAGGAGGGGCGCCCGCGCAGGCCATAATATTTTCCATAGTGCCTATTAATTTAGAACTACAAGATTTTGCATAACTAGGGGCCCATTTCTTTTATTTCGCCCCGGGCCAAAAAATTCCCAGAGCCGGCCCTGCTCCAAAGCAACCACTTAGAGAAGCAAGTGGACAGGTAAGAGAAATGGAGGTTTAAGCTCTAGAAATATATGCAAAAAAGCAAAAAGAAATCATATTTGAAACTCGCTAGAAAAGCTTAAAACGATCACAATTTCCCTATGCCTTCAAAACTTGATAAAATCATAGCGTTAAACTTAAGCTAAAACAGTTTAAAACCGCGAAAATAATATATATAACATAGGAGCCCAAATCTTGCTCACTTTAAAGAGTGAATGGCACTACCACAACTGTTCTAAGGGATATGAAATAAGGGTGTAAACAAGAGACTTGTGTTCGATGCGGGGAAAAATTGGATTCCTTTTGGTAATTATCGACCTGAATTCATGCAGCTTGTGCTATCAAGAAGTCGAATTCAAGCATCATAATACCCAATTCAAATAACTTGCGAGCGCAATTGAGCTTTTTTAGTTTTAATATGTATTTTAAATATTCAAAATTGAACATGTAAAACCTTAATTTGTGCTCGAGCTCGAGTAAACAAGCTCAATTAAGTGGAGCTTGAGTAGTTCATTAATATCTCAAGCTGAGCTCAAACTTAAAAGGATGATACTTGATTGAACTCGATATCAAGCAGTGAGTTTTAAGTTGAGCTCGAGTTTATCACTATTCCAGATCGGCTCAGCTCGATTATAGTGAAAGGCAGAGCTTAAATACCATAAAATTACAAACATTTGCACTGCAAATACCTTCCTGAGATTCGAGGCTTGCTCTTCCAACTTCTCGATATCTGCTTCACCTGCAGGGCTACTCGCAGTTGAACCCGTTTCAAATGCTTTTGCCTATTTAAAGATAAAAAAGAAATTGCAGAATTGAATCCACATCCAAACTTTCAAAGGCTCCCTACGTCGCAAAAACATTGAATTTTAAACAAACCCAAGATTCCTACTCAACAATTTGAAACACTGTTTAGTTCAAACCATGAAAATTTTCCTAATTTGAGTTGTTAAAAAAACCCTAAACTTCGTTACAATACCTTTTGAGAATTGGGAATAGCGGTGAGCACAGTGCGAAGAGCAGCGACGGAGTTCTTATACATAAGGCGAGCCTCATCGAGGGCGCCATTGCCACTACCTCCAGCTCCCCCCGTCTCCGAGTGATGGCCGCCGCTGCCGTCGGAGGACGAATCACCGTTTCCTAAAACGGCGCCGTTGGAGAGAGAAGGGCCGTTAGCGGCGGCGGCGCTGGTGGTAGGAGTGGTGGACCATAAGGCAGGGTTGCAAAGCTCGTCGTTCATGGAAGAGAGAATCTGAAAAGCGGCTTCGATGGTTTCTTCTAGATGTTTTAGGCCCTCCGATGCAAGCTCCTGCGTCGTTTTGTTGCTGCTGTTTGTTGGTGTTGTTGTGCTACTTACAACGCTATTTTCTTCCATTTTTTTTTCAATGAAGGGTTTCTGGGTTTCGTATTACTTTTTTTTTCCTTGTTTACTGTTTGGTCGCTGAGAAAATATCAAATGGAGAAATTTGTATCTCCAACTATATGAATAGTTATAAAATAGTTGTTCAATTATATAATGTTATTTTGTTAAGTAATTTAACTATTAAAAAATATAAAATAGTTATTTAATTATTTATTGTATTTTAAATTCATTATTTTTTATTAAAAAGATTAGCGATTATCTAAGCTGAACGTTAACATGATGGTTGAGATATGATAGTCGTTTGAGATTCTAGGATCATATTTTATCATATCACAGTCAGTATTTCAATGTTTAACTTAGAATATCGTCAATTTTTTAACAAAAAAGAACGAATTTGAAACATAATGAATAATTATGTGACCATTTTGTAAGTTTTAATAGTCAATGAACTCAACAAAACAACACTATATAATCGGAAGATCATTTTATAATTTTTTAATTATCGAGATACTTAATAAAGGGATATCCTATAATTAAATGATCATTTGTGTACTTTACTCAAAATACAACAAACTATCTAATTCGATGTTAAAAACTTTCGACGAATAATAAAATTTTGAGTAAACTACATAAATAGTTATTGATGTTTGATCATAGTTTTTATCATTTGTAAAATGGCTAGGTTTATGCCTATATAAATAAGGGTAAACAATATATTTATTTATCTAACTATTTATATGATTTGATTTTGATTATTTAATTATTTTTTAAAATTTATATATAATAATATATTTTAGTTTCGTTTTTAGTCACACATCATTAAAAATTAACTTAAATTTTTTTAAAAATTTTAAATATGACGTGACATAATTTTATGTCAACATCATCGTTATGAGATTATACAATCTCTTGGACTAGCATAGTGCATTCCTCAAATAATGAACGACCACGTGTTGATTACCTGCTATTCCTGCACACATTGCTCCTGTATAATCACTATCCATCAAGTGTTAACATTAGGGATGGGCACGGGATCATGGTTTTGACCCGATCGGATCAGTTTTTTATAAAAAAAAATGAGTTCGGATCGGGTCGAATTCGTGTTTAAAGTGAAAATACCTGATTCAATCTGACCTGAAAAAAATATGATTTTACCTTATATATTTAGGAATAATTACAATAAAACTTTCTCTATATATTATTTTTTTAATTAAATCATTGTTTTTATTGAATAAAAAATATTTTTTTATTTCGGGTCAGATTCGAATTTTATCTCAAAAAGTCGAATCGAGTTCAGATCGGGTAGATGGTATATATTATGTGAGTCGGGTCGAATTTCGAGTGGAAGAGTCATTGTTCTCCGATCGGGTCGGATAGACAAAAAACTCGAGCCATGTCCATCCCTAATTAACATCATAACCTGTATTTTTTCTATTTTTTTAAATGATGAATGACAAATATAATTTTTTTTCCTACAAATAAATTGAAAATATAATTTTTTTCTATTAAGAAAAATCTCTCCTTTTTTTTTACAGAAATTAAGAAAATTATCAAATTTCAGGTTTTGGGGATTTTTATTTATTCGCAGGAAACGAATTCAAAATCGAAACTGGGAATTCTTCAATGCCCTCTCTCATATTGAATTCTCTGTTAAATGGGTAATTTTCTTTTCCCCTTTTTCTTCACGTTTTAGTACTCTTTTTGTTTTGCTTTGCATGCAACTCAATATGAATCCTTTTTTAAAGCCGTTGATTGTGTACTTCTGATAGAGATTTTTTAGGGTTTTTATCAGATAATAATTACTGAATTTTGACAATTTTGAACGTGAAAATCGTTAACTGTTGGTTATAGCTATTGGCAATCTCAATCAAAGACTGTTGAATTGTTCTTATCGATGAACTTGAACTTCTATTTTCATTTTTTTGTCGGTTTTCTATTTAAATTGTTTTATTCATTCAATGTGGGTTGGGTTTAACTTTGATGGTGTTTGGTTTTGTTGTTTGAAGTGAAATCTTGAAGAGTTTACTAAGAATTCAGTTTTCCGAGGGGCGAAACTGAGTTATCATATGTTTAGCTTCTTGAAGAATTTTATGGAGGGATAAAAATGAAGCCATTAGAATCTGTAACTTGATGGATATAAAGTTTTTCTTTCAATGTTTTGTGATATTCTCAGTAACCTTATGGCATTGTGAGGACGTCTCCGCAATGTGTTTCGATATCCATCATGATCGTGTTGAAAATTCGGTACTAGAGTACGCCATGATGTAAAATGAATGACCTCCATTGCATTTTCTGTCTTTTTAAGTTAGAATTATCTGATAAGGACACTTTCTGCAACATGTTTTCTCCAAATACATGATTGCTTCAAAAGTTCGGTGAAGTTTGTTAAGATCCAAAATGAATGAGTTCGGCTTCTTTTGACTAATAAATTCTCATTTAATTACATTTTTTTCTGCGATGTGTTATTTCCAAGCATACTTTGCTTATGTTAAAATTTTGGTATTCTAGTTCCTTTAGTTTTCAGCGAACGACCATCCTGTGCATTATTAGTTGTTTCAGTTATGCAGTGTGTTGCTTCCATATCTGTTTAAGTTATTTCACGAGTTTGGTACTCAAGTTCATAGACTTTTCAATGACTTGCCTTCCCGAGCTTTTTCCTTTTGCGTTGTTCTTGGATGAAAGGCATTTTGTTTAATGTGTTTGATTTCCAACTCTGATGTATGCTTCTTTTGGAAGTTCGAATTACCTTCTACGGGTCTGTTGAATATATGGAGTTTGATCAATTAAATGGTATCATTGGTTTTTTGTTTGTATCTATCAGTCAATTTGCAAATCAACAAAATTGTGTTATTATTTTCCTTTTCTGCTGAAAAAGTTTCCTTATATTGGGTTAAACAACATTTGGTGTCTTCTGATGCATGTACTTCGTTTTTTTTAATGTTAGAATCTGTTCTGATATCGTATTCGATGACAAATCAGATAATGAACTGAAGAAAGAAACAGCAAGTGGTTAGCGCAGGCAGAGACTCGCTAGCATAACTAAAATGGATTGTAATAAAGACGAGGCCATTAGAGCTAAAGAGCTCGCTGAGAAAAAACTTGCAGAGATGGATGCTGTTGGTGCCAAAAGATTTGCTTTGAAGGCTCAAAACTTGTATCCTGAGCTTGATGGTCTTCCTCAGTTGCTTGCAACTCTCGATGTGTACATATCCGCGGATAAAAAGATCAATGGAGAGGTCGACTGGTACAGGGTGCTTGCTGTTCAACCATTTGCTGACGAGGATACAATTCGGAAACATTATAGGAAGCTGGCTCTTGTTCTTCATCCCGACAAAAATAAATCTGTAGGTGCGGATGGGGCTTTCAAAATTCTATCTGAAGCTTGGAATTTGTTGTCTGATAGAGCAAAGAGAAATGCTTATGACCAGAAACGGAACTTGAGGGGCAGTTATACTAATGTTTCGCATGGGAAATCATCTTCATCAGCGACTACCAGTAGTAATGGTTTCCATAATTTCTCCGACAAGAATATTTCAAACACCAGTGGTCGTAACAATGCTACTTATTCCAAGCCTGCTCCTCGCACGGTGACAAATGATACCTTTTGGACAACCTGCAATGCCTGTAAGATGCATTTTGAGTACTCTAGGGTTTATGTCAACTTAAATCTTCCTTGTATCAATTGTCGCACACCCTTTTTCGCTGTTGAGACACACCAGCCCCGACAGTAAATGGCAGTAGTAAGTATACTTCATTTTCCGAATTCATGCAGCAACAGAAGTTTCGCCAAGTTCATAGTGCTGGACAGGCGAGATTTTCCGGTTTATCTACAAAAATTTCTCAAAAAGGCGTGTTCCCTAGACCGGGAAGTAACATAAATGTGTCTTCACCAGTTTCTTTCACCACTGAAGCTTCTGGTGTTACTCATTCAGCCGGTGAAACATTAAAGAGTGGACACAATGAATTACTGACTGATATAAAGAGAGATGAAAACTTGCACAAGAAATTTCATCCTTCTCAGAAAATCGTGGCAGGTTTAGGTACCGGGTCCTCGGCTTCTGTTTCTAGTTTTGCGGCAAAGAAACAAAGACCTAAGAAGAGGCACATAGATGAAATCGAGATGGGAAATCAGTCAGCCATAGGAAATGAAGGGTTTAGTGTTTCTAGTTTTCAAAAGAGTGGTTTCGAAAATACTATCGGAATCTCTAGAACTAATAGCATAAAGCAGCCTTCACAGCTGGAAACACGGAATATTCTGATGGAATTGGCTAAGAAAGAAATCAACAAGAAACTAAAATCATGGAAACTGGCTTCTCTATCAGCTGCTTCGAGTAAACCAAAGGCTTTTGATGAGGGGACCAATGATAAGGATGAAGGAAATGGGAAAGATGCCGTAAGTATGAAATCTGGTGCACATGAAACCTTGAAGTATGTTGATATCAATTCTAGCATTCAGCCCAAAAGTTCTTACATTGTTGATTCTCATGTCAGTCCTGCTACGAAGGAACCTGATCGATGTCCATGAATGTTCCAGATCCCGATTTTCATGATTTTGACCAGGATCGTACTGAAAAGTCATTCGGCGAGAGTTGGCTTAATTCTAAAAGCAATGCCGAACTGGCTCCGCTAAACTGGATTAATTCGGGCTTTTACAAAACTAGTGGGGATTTCTGGGTAGGCAAATTGAAGTTAATAGGTCTCTCAATTCATTCTCGCACAAGGTGAAGTGGTCGAAAGGCCGGAAAGGAACAATTCAAATATATCCAAGTAAGGGAGATGTTTGGGCTCTCTATAGGAACTGGTCCACTGATTGGAATGAGCTTACACCTGATGAAGTGATACACAGATATGACATGGTTGAGGTGCTTGAAGATTACAATGAGCAGAAGGGCATTGCTGTTGCACCACTCGTTAAGGTGCCTGGGTTCAAGACAGTGTTTCAGAAGCATTCCGGACGGAGTAAAACACGGATGATTCCAAGAGAAGAGTTGTTTCGATTTTCTCACCAGGTCCCTTCTTATTTGCTCACAGGCCAAGAAGGTTTAAATGCTCCTAAGGGTTACTTGGAGCTTGATCCTGCAGCTACACCATTGGACCTT